CCAAAGAAAGATGGGTACAATAATTGAGGTTCTTGATTAAGAGAAAGCTCAAGTAGGACAAGGGACAGAACAGAAAGGCCAATACTTAAAAGTTCAGTGAAGGAAGAGAAGGCCCAATGCTCACTGCAAGCTGTGTGCTTATGCCCCACACCTGATTATCAGATCACGCACAGCTAGGTTTTTTTTTTGTTTGTGCCTATTTGCACATGCCTTGGTGCACATAAACACATTTATTCTGCCCATGAAAGGAAAAGATTAGAGAAAACACTGAAAGACATGCAGAAAAAAAATACTAGAATGTCATAAGGCATTCACATTCCAGAAAAGTGCAAGGAATTTAAAAAAGCATTACAAAGTCTAAAAACATAATTTCTTACAGTGCAGTGAAAGGGTAACATCTGTCACTTCATCTTTAAAGCCCAATATAGCACAATTCTTCTAGTTAGGGGGAGATCTGAGAACAGTGTATGACTGACATACCATATATGTTAAAACATCCACACACCACTGGACAGCTGCAGTGCCCTAGGCAAAGTGTCAGCCTTAATTTCAATTTGAATTTCCCAGAGTTCAGGGTTTAAGTCAACTATATCATACAAACCCAAGTTTTTGCTTTTCTTTTGTGACAGTCTCTGGAACAAATCCCTGGGCGTTAACAGACGCTTGTTCACCTGTGAGCTTAAGTATCAAGCTTTGTGAAGTGTTTTTCCTTCCCTTTTTTCCCCTAAGTTTTATTTGAGCATCCAAGGAACTAGTTCAGATACAAAGCAAACACACACACCTCCTTACATGTCTGCATGCATGTCGGGGTGTGGGGAAGAAAAGCTACCCAAACCCCCGGTATAGAAAACACCCCCGCCCTTCCCCAGCGCTGACCCGCGGGACACAGACAGTTTAACCTGCTCCGACCACGCGTCTCGATCCAGAGTCACTCCAGAGCACGGATCATCTGTGACAACCACATCCCAGCCCGGGAGCTGTAACGCAGGCTCCGTGCACAGCAGCGTTGAAAATCAGCCACCTCTGGGGAG